CCCCAAAGACCCCGCCAAGACGGCCCAGGAGGCCCCGAGGACGGCCAAGGAGAGCCACAGGACGGCCCAAGAGGCTCCCAGGACGGCCCAAGAGAGCCCCAAGACGGCCCCAGAAGAGACTCAAAAAGGGGAGCCCGAACCGAAAATCCGAGCCCTCCGCCCCTGGAGGCACCCAGGACGCCCCAAGAAGCTCCCCAGAGGCCCCAAGAAGCCCCCTCCAAAAAACCCAAAGACGCCCCCCCCCCCCCAAGAGGCCCCAAAACAGCCCCCAAGAGGCCTCCACAAACGGCCCCCGAACGTCTTTGACGCTGCCTCAAAGAAGCCCCCGAAAAACCTCCCAAGACACCCCAACGAACATCCCGTAAGCCTCATGCCCTCAACCCAGGCACGGTGGCGGGATGGGCCGAAGGCCAGCAGTAATAGTCGCAAGGGTGGTCGTAATAGTACTTCTCGCGTTGCACTCGCCTGGCAACGTTATGTGATTGTTCGCACATGTGTTCCTCGCCCCCGTTGTTCTCGTTGTTTCGGCTCCCGGGGCCGCTTGCGGCCTCCGGGAACCTCAAAGACGGATCCAGGTTGAAGATTTGCGCCGAATGCGCCCCGGGAAGGGCCCGGGGACAGACTCTCAGCCGACATGCATTATTTTTCGCAAGCAGCGAACGCTTGGAACGATGACGCCGCAGCAACGAGCAGGAAGAGCACGGGAGACGGTGAGGGAAGTCGGCGTCGCAATCGCTCCCACATCCCCCTTTTATCCTCGCTCGCCGGCGGGGTGCCTGGCGGGTAAGATCGCTGAACTGGAATTCTGGGCGGCCGCGCGACCCGCCCTCCGCTCGAGAGACTACTCGGCGGCGGGCGCGGGGGGGAATGAGACGGAGCGGGCCTTCAGAGGCTCCTGAGAAGCCCGCCGGCCTTCTGACAAATTCTCTCTGTCTTCCCCGAAGACAAGGGAACTTTTCAGAAGCCCCCCGGGCTTCTGAGAAGGCCCGCCGCCTTCTGAGAAGGCATGCTCCTTCTCACTTCCCCCCTGGGCTCGCCGCCGAACTACGGAGAGCCGCTGCTACACGCAGCTCGCGCAACCGATGGGATGGCTTTGCTCGCGGCAGGGAACGCGGGCGCGGCGCGGCCACCAAATGCATCGCACGGCGGCTGAGGGGCGATGAGTTGCTGTGTCCGCCACCTATCTCGGGCGCAGTGCCCGCCGGAGACATCGTGACCCCCGCGGCTGCCCTTGACGCAAGAGGGACCTCTGGCAAGGCAGGCCCTTGGCGCGCACACATGTTCTCAAGATCGCCCCCCGGACCCCTCCCGGGGTCCAGATTGAACAAGTTTTTCGAGACGCGCCCAGCCGTGGCGACGAGGATCCCCCCCGGAACGCGGAAACACGACAAATCCCCCGCTGGTTGCGCACCAAAGGTCGGCCCGGCGAAAGCTCATTCTTACGCGTCGGCGAGCGGAGACGCTTAGCTCCATACTGCCCAGCAACTTAATGCCCGAGCCTGCGTTTGGAAACAAAACCACCTGGCACTATCGCTATCGCGCAACAACTGAACGCCCACGCTTCAGATATATGTCACCCACGAGCAAATAATGTATTGAGCCCGACCAGCAACTGAATGCCCAATGTGTGGATGATATATGTGCACCCCAAGCAGAAAAAACCAACCCAGCAACTGAATGCTCAAGCCGCGAAAGATATTTGTGTATCGCCGCTCAATGTTTGACAACCTGGCACTAACGCTATCGCGCAGCAACTGAATGCCCACGCTTCAGATATATGTGCACTCCCAAGCAAATAATGTATTGCGACACAGCAACTGAAAGCCCAATCTGTGGATGAACCATGTGCACCCCAAGAGGAAAAGTCAGCCCAGCAACTGAATGCCCAAGCCTCGAAAGATATTTGCGTCCCGCCGCTCAATTTTTGACCACCAGGCACTATCGCTATCGCGCAGCAACCGAATGCCCACGCTTCAGATATATGTGCACCCCCAAGCAAATAATGTATTGAGTCAGACCAGCAACTGAATGCCCAATCTGTGGATGATACATGTGCACCCCAAGCAGAAAAGTCAGCCGAGCAACTGCATGCCACAGCCTCGAAAGATATTTGGCTCCCAAGCAAATAATGTATTGAGTCAGACCAGCAACCGAATGCCCAATTTGTGGATGATATATGTGCAGCCCAAGCAGATAATGGCATGAGTCAGCCCAGCAACTGAATGCCCAAGCCTCGAAAGATATTTGTGTGTCCCACCGCTCAATTTTTGATGTTATCCACCCCGGGGAAAGAATCACCGCCAGGCCGGGCGCCAGCTCAAGTGAAGTCCGGGCACCCCGGGCCGAACGTCTCCACGATGGCCCCCTGCGCGTGGCGGTTCTTCATGACCTTAGTGAAATCATCAAGGCTGACCTGGTTCCCGGCGAGCTTCTCGTGGAGGGCGTTGCCGTGCTCGCGGAAACACTGGGCGGCCCTCTGGTGCGTCTGCGCCACGAATGGGAGCCCGCCGGCGCCCTGCCAGTTCATGAGCATGCGGATCCTGGACTTCGACTTGGGGTCGAGCCATTCGTACAGCGTCTTGGCGTGCTTGGCGAGCTCGGTCGGGTCCTTCGGCGCGAGCGTCGCGCCGGCGCTGCTGCCCGCGCCCTGGCGCAGGCTGGCCGCCCCCTCCTTGGCCGTCTCCTTCTTAGGCGCGAGGCAGTACTCAAGAGCAGGCGCGATGCGACCAATTTCACTGTACAACGCCTTGCATACATCTTGCTTCATGATGAACTCATTCTGCTTCTTGATGTCCGGGTTCTGCTGGTGCTTGCAAAACTCCAAGGCTGCATGTACCCATCTGTTGATGCCGACCCCTCTGCGCTCCTCGGTGTCGTCCGCCTGGGCGAAAGCCCGAGGGCGTATTGAGGGGGGCCAACAACGACAATGATATTTGTTTAGTAATGAAAGCTCAACAGGGACTCCTCTGGAAGCCCTCCAGGGGTGTTGCCGCCACGAGGGCCCCAGTCTTCAGTAAAAACTGCGGCATTGTCACGCGAAAGTGCCGTGGTTGTAGGGGGCGGGACGTTCGCGGCGCCGAGGCGAAAGCGCCGATCCTGAGTAGAAGGAAATGTCGAACGGAAACGCTGGTTTGGTGGGACCGGCATTCGGCGGCGAGGAAGAGCACCTTGCCTGAGTCAAAAAAGGGCGACGTATCGAACGGGAGCGGTGGTATGGGCTTTCGGCAGCAAGGCGAGATCGCCAATCCTGAATAAAAAGCGTGGAAATATCGATCGGAACACAGGTTTGGTGGGAATGCCAGCTTTCGGCGGCGAACAAGAGCAGCGGGGCTAAGTAAAACAGGACCAATATCGAACGGACCCGCTGGTTTGCTGTGGAAGCCGGCTTTCGGCGGCGAGCAAGAGCACCGTACCTGAGCAGACAAGGAGGAAATATCGAGCGGGAGCAGGAGGAGCGAAGATTCGGAAGGAGGAGGAGGAGGAGGAGGAGGGGGAGAGGAGGGAGTAGGAGGATGATCGGAGGAAAGGAGAGGAGGAGGAGGGAGGGGGAGGAGGAGGAGGGAGGGAGGGAGGAAGGGAGGGAGGAGGAGGAGGGGGGGGGGGGAAGGAGGGGAGCAAACGGGCCCGACGCGGCGGAGCCGCGTCGGGCCCTCAGTCTTGAGTAAACGGCCCTCAGTCTTGAGTAAAGGGTCCGGCCGGAGCACGCGCGGCGGCCGCGCGACGGGCGACCCGAGATCGCGACAGGCGACCGGGGGCGCCGAGGCGACCGAGCGCGGAGCCCTGGCGACCGGAGGGCCCCCAGTTTTGAGTAAAGGGTGAGGGCTCTCGGCGGCGAGCAAGAGCACCGAACCCGAGTAAAAAAGGAGGAAGTCTCGAACCGGAGCGTTGTTGTTGTTGGGGGGCCGGTTTTGGCGGAACCCCAAAACGCCTGAGCGTGAGCCTCAATTTCAGAGGAAATGCAGCCGGCGCCTCGGCGAGAGCGCCAGGGCGAATATAGGGGGTCCAACAATAATAATTGTTTAATAATTAAGGTTCAACAACAACAACAACAACAACAACAACAACAACAACAACAACAACAACAACAACAATAACAACAACAACAACAACAACAACAAAAACAACAACAATAACAACAACAACAACAACAACAACAACAGCAGCAGCAGCAGCAGCAGCAACATTAACAACAACAACAACAACAACAACAACAACAACACCAACAACGACAACAACAACAACAACAACAACAACAACAGCAACAACAACAACAACGCTCCCGATCGAGACTTCTACATTATTTACTCATGTCTGGTGTTCTGGCTCGCCGCCGACAGCCGCCGTCCTAACAGAACCAGCGTTCCCGCTCGAGACCTCCTCTCGTTTGACCTTGGGCTGGCGCGCTAGCATTTCTCTCATCGGCGCCGCCTCCAGCAACTTCCTCCCATTTTTACTCAAGGCGGTGCTCCTCCTCGCCGCCGAAAACTGCCGCCCCGACAAAACCAGCGTTCCCGCCCGAGACGCCCTTCCGTTTTTTTGGCGCCCTACTCTGTTTTGACTTGGCGCCGCTGCCAACCAAAAAGCAACGCTTCCGCTGGAGGATTCCTCCCCTTTTCCTGAAGACGGTGCTGTTCCTCGCCGCCGACAGCCCCCGTCCCGACAAAACTACGGCTCCCGTTCGATGGTTCCTCCTTTCTTACTCAGGGTGGTGTTCCTCCTCGCCGCCGACAACCGCCGCCCCGACAAACCAGCGTTCCTGCCCGAGACATCCTTCCGTTTTACGCTGGGCTGGCGCCCTACTCTCTTTTGAAGTAGCGCCGCCCCCAGCAAGAACGACGCTCCCGTTCGAGATGTCCCCACTTGTTCCTGAAGACGGTGTTGTTCCTCGCCGCCGACAGCCCCCGTCCTGACAAAACCACGGCTCCCGTTCGATGCCTCCTCCTTTCTTGCTCAGGACGGTGTTCCTCCCCGCCGTCGACAACCGCCGCCCCGACAAACCAGCGTTCCCGCCCGAGACTTTCTTCCGTTTTACGCTGGGCTGGTGCCCTACTCTCTTGTGAAGTAGCGCCGCTTCCAGCAAGAACGACGCTCCCGTTCGAGATGTCCTCTCTTTTTCTTCGGGGCGGTGCTGTTCCTCGCCGCCGACAGCCCCCGTCCCGACAAAACCACGGTTCCCGCTCGATGCCTCCTCCTTTCTTCCTCAAGGCGGTGTTCCTCCTCGCCGCCGACAACCGCCGCCCCGACAAACCAGCGCTCCCGCCCGAGACTTCGTTTTGTTTTACGCTAAACGCCCTACTCTCTTTAGCATTGGCGCCGCACCCAGCAACAACAGCAGCCCTGCTCGAGACTTCCTCCCTTTCTATTCAGGGCCAGGTCCTTACCTCACCGCCGACAGCCCCCATCCCATCTAAGGCAATCCTGTCGTTCAATATTTCCTCGTGCTTTACCCTTCGCTGGGGTTCCACTGGCGGTCTTGCATCTGCGCAGCAAGGCGCGGGCATGTGTTTTCGAGGCGGGATATGTAGAAATTCTTCGGATGAGGTGTGTGCAAGACCTCATTGGGCGGGAGACTTGGGAATGGGGATAACAAACCCCGCTATAGAACAGGAGTCCCCCATGATGTGGATGGTTATCATGATGGTCGCATGCTTCGTGTGGAAACATCGCGCATGAGGGTAAAATGATTGTTGTTGTTGGTGTTGTTGTTGTTATTGTTGTTGAATTCTCACTTCTAGAGAATAATTATTGTTGATCTCCAGAGACGGTTCCGGGCGCTCTCGCCTCGACGCCGGCGACATTTCCTCTGAAAACGAGGCTCCCGCTCGAGCGTTGGCTTGAGCCTAAAAGTGGGTCCTTGGAGACCCAGCTACGACAACAACTGTTCCTGCTCGATTCTTCCTTGCAATTTACTTCGATACACCCCAGCCAGAGAGGCCTCCGAATTCAGGAACGGCGCTCGAGACTTCCTCGCAATACAATCAAGTTGGCGGGGGCCCAACCACGACGACAGGGGCTCTCGCTCGATACTTCCTCACGATTTACTCCGAGAGCCCCTGGCAAAGAAGGCCCCCGAACTCAGGAACGACACTCTCGCTCGAGATTTTCACCTGATTCAGTCAGATTGGTGGAGGCCCAAATGCGACGACAAGAGCTCTCGTTCGATATTTCCTCATGATGTATTCGCAGAGGCCCTTGCCAGAGAGGCCCCCGAACCCCCGAACTCAAGAGTGGCGCACTCGCTCGAGATGCCCTCGTCATTCAGTCAATTTGGTGTGGGCCAAGCCGCGACGACAAGGGCTCCCGTTCGTTACTTCCTCAAGCTGTCCTTCGAGAGCCCGTGGCCTGAGACTGTAATTCAGTAGCGGCGCCGGAGGCCCACCTGCGACGACAGGGGCTCCCGCTCGACATTCCCTTTAGTACTCCTACACGACCTGGCCAGCGAGGCCCCCAAACCACAAAGGCCCCCAGCACGCTGCGACGTACAGAACCCTTTGACGGCATTGGCATCCCATCACGCTTCAACATGCCACGGGGGCTTGTGGCGGACCTGATGGATCGTTGACGTCTGATCACTTCACTGCAGGAGGTTCCATGGCTCGAGCTAAACAGTGTTTTGGCAATTTCGTGGACCGCTGTCGTTAGGGGTTCGGTTTGCAACGAAGGCGGAACGCCAACGGAACGAACAACACGAACATGGAAAACGCTGTTTAGCTCGAGCGCCCCATGTCGGTCGCGAGAGCTTTGCTCAATTTCCGCTTCGCAGTCGTCGTGGGCAGGCCCTGCAGGAGAACTTCGCGAGATTTGTGTACAGTGCCGCTGACTTCGGGCGCCTCTGGTCCCTCGTTCTAGCTGGCCGACGAGCACCAGCTATCATGCGCTTTTGCCTGCCTCCAGCCGTAGGAACCTGTTTTGTTGTGCCCACCCTGCCCCCCCCCCGCCCCCCCCCGATAGCCGGACCTTTTCGGTTGCGCAGGTCCGATGGGGTCACGCAGTATTGGTGCGCACGGGCATGCGTGGGGTTGCTGGGCTGCCCAAAGCGAAAAAGGTTGAGTTATCGGCCGCCCCCACCTCCCCCACCAACCGATAACCTGGTTGTCCTCCGACAAAAAGAAGATGCATCTTTTCCCTCTTTGCGTGCCTTGCCCGGCGGCGCCAGCGGCTGAGGGAGCAATTTGGAGAAGCCTCGAGAGCAGACCAGCCATCGGAGCAGATCTGCGGGGCGCCCAGGGCGAGGTCCTCACTTCTGGCCCTGGTGAGCTGGCCGTGCGCGGCTGCCTGTCGGGCGGAGCGAATCTCATAGCAGGAACTCGTGCCGCGTTTTTGGGCCTCCTCGGAGGCCCTCGTCGCCACGGCTGGATGCGCTTCTCAGCGTTGGTCAGGATGCACCCCGGAAGAGGTCCAGGAGTAGCGGTATGGGTACTTTCTGGCTCCCCAGAATCACGTCGGGGAAGTCCTGCGTAAAGAAAGCGGGAAAGCGCCGAAGACCACGTGATTCACGTCCTTTGTTGTTGCGCACCGAAGAGGCTATTTCACGTCAAGGAACAATGTTCGTCAGTTTGCGTTGGCTGGCGGGGAGCTGCTCATGTACCTGCTTGCGGGCCTTCTTTGGTCCCTTGGATTTGTCGGGCCCACGAGCGCGCTGCATTGCTGTCTTTTCTGCCGTATTCTGAAAACGTCAGCAGTGCGGCCATGGAGTGTCAGTAACGTTGTCGTAAAAGCGGGACCAGATTATGTCATTTAGGAAATGTGCGGCAGCTCTGAGAATACCAGGGTCGAGCCATATAAACTCGTGAGCAGACATGAAGCTTGGGCGCGGAGAAGGGTCTTTCGGGGACTCATGTGAGATACTCCATGTCCTCAGAGGCCTCTCAGGGGCCTCCGTATGCCCAAAAGGGGTCGAAGAGCGTCCAGTGATCTCTATCTTCGGTCGTCGATCTCCGACGTCCATGGCCACGGTGGCGACGAACACTGCGTCCACGACGACGGCGACGGCGACTACGACCACGAACGGCGACGACCACGGCTGCGACGACGAGGTCCGTGGCCTCGTCGTCGCCGTGGTCACTGTGGCCGTGGCCGCGGCCGTCGTGCCCCCTCGGCCACTGAGGCGCTGCTGCGCGCCACGGCGGAAATGCCGAACTGCCGGTCCAAGTCGCTGAAGTTCGTGGAGAGGCCCCCGCCCGCGCAGAGCGCGTGCTCGCGCGAGCCCCGTGGGGCTCACCGGCGGCGGCGGCGGAAACGGCGGGAGAAGAGGATTGAGGATGAGACGACGGTTTCGGCAGTAAGTCATGGGAGCCTTGTATGTCCTCGCAATTATGTCTTAGAGGGAGTGCATTAGCGTGCGCTAGCATCTGGCAGCGGACGATAAAGCGCCGATTTGGCGTCGACTAGTCTCGACTAGCGTCGATTCAGCGTCGACGACGAGCGTCGACCAGCTTCGAATCGCAAGAACCAGCAAGATGAGGTTACATTCAGAGTCGGCGCTGGTATATCCCTGATCGAACACTAGCCGGATCTGGCTTAGTCCCGCTGAATCAGGCTTTGTGCCGGAGGGGGGCGGGTCTGGGGTCCCCGTCTCCGTAGTAAAACGTACATGTTCAGCATACTCCTTTTTCTTCGTCTTCGCAGTGCCCCAGACGCCCCCGAGGAGCCCCAAGACAGCTCAAGAGACCCAAGACGGCCCAAGACGGCCCAAAAGGGTCGTCCTGTGGGGCTCACGGAACCCCCCGAGACGGCCCAAGAGGCCCCAAAGCCAGCCCAGGAGGCCCCCAAGAGGGCCTCGTTCAACATCATGTTCCCCGAAGCCTCTCCGGGAACATGATTCTTGGGTTCCCAGGACGCCCAAAGACAGCCCCCAGAGGCCCCGGACACGCCGAAGCTGGCCTCAGGACGGCCGACGACGCCGCCAAAACGCCCCAGGAGCGCATCCAGAGGCCCTCCAAAGAACCCCAGAAGCTGAAAATCATGCATTTTCCTATAGTTTTTGAAGCATTCTTGCACTTTCCCATGTTCCGCCTCCCCACGGCCCCGGACCGCGTCAGAGGCCCTTCAGATCGCTCCAAGACGGCCGAAGAGGCTCCCAATAAAGCCCAGAGACGGCCCAGGAGGCTCCCCAGATAAGTCAAGGGCCTCGAGAGCGCCACGAGAGAGCCCCAAGGGCGACCCAAGAGCGCCCGAAGAGCGCGACATTTCGAGGTCTCCGGCCTGAGAGGCTCTTAGGACGCCCCCAGAGGCCATCAAGAAGTTCCCAAGAAGCTCCGTGAGGCTCCCAAGAGGCCCCCCGGAAGCCCCAATAGGCCCCCAAGGGACCCCCAGGGAAGCCCCTTGCGCGACCCCAAGACACTTCGGTGAATCGCATTTCCCATACAGCTTTCCGGGAACATGATTCCTTGGGCTTCCGCCCACCTCCCTAACTATGTTTCCAATAGGCTTGCCGACAAGGCCAAAAGACGCCCCTCGGCAAGCCCCCAGAAGCCCACCTCTTAGAGAGCCGAACGATAGAAAGCTTCCCGGGAACATGATTCTCTATCTCGGAGTAGGCCCCGGGGGGGCGGGCCGCTGCTTGTTCCCCATCGGTGCCCACCAGGGGTTGCGGGGGGGGGGGTCCAGAGCTCCCGAGGCGCCCCGAGCCCGCCCCGAAGCAGGCCACAACAGGCTAATTAAGGGGGTTCCGAGAGGACCCTAGACGGTCCCACGAGGCCCCGAAGACGCCCAAGCTGCCCTCAAGACAGACGACGAGGATTCCAACACGCTCCAGGACGGACTCAAGAGGCTCCCCAAAAGGGCCCTGGAAGGCAAGATTCACTCGTTTTCCGAGCGTTTTGGATTTAGGCGTTCTCGCTTTGCCCGCATTCCAGCGCTCCCTCACGGCCTCGCTCGACGTTCAGGTCGCTGCAAGAAGGCCCACGAGGCCCCGACGAGGGCCCCAAGACAGCCTAGGATGCTCCCCAAACAACCCAACTGTGCCCCAAGAGCGCGCCAAGAGAAGGCCCAGAGGGGTCCCGAGGCGGCCCGGGCCCGCCCCGAAGCAGGCCACGACAGGTTAATGGAGGTCCCGAGAGGGCCCTAGACGGTCCCAAGAGGCCCCGAAGACGCCCAAGCTGCCCTCAAAACGGCCGACGAGGACTGGAACACGCTCCAGGAAGGACTCAAGAGGCTCCCCAAGAGGGCCTTGGGAGGCACGATTCAGTAATTTTCCTCTGGTTTTTGAAGGATTTAGGCGTTCTCGCTTTCCCCGCTTCCCAGCGCTCCCTCACGGCCTCGCTCGGAGGCCCTTCAGATCGCTCCAAGACGGGCCAGGAGGCCCCGAAGAGGGCCCCAAGACGGCCCAGGAGGCTCCGGAGACAACCCAACTGTGCCCCAAGAGCTCCCCAAGAGAGGGCCCAGAGGGGGACGCCAACCGATATTTCGAGGTCTCTGGCCCTCGAGGCCGCCTGTAGGCCCCCGGAGGCCACCAAGAGGCTCCCACGAAGCCCCGTGAGGCGTTCAAGAGGCCCCCAGGAAGCCCCAAGAGACCCCCAAGGGGCTGGTGGAGGGGGATGATCTCCAGTCGAGGATCGCCGCCCACTTGATCGCGCTGCGCGGCAGTGCCGTCGCGGGCGCCCAGGCGGCCGAGGTGGCTCGCCCACGCAAAATTCTGCTGCATGCCGTGAGGGCCCGTGCGCGCGATTTGCAGCACACGGTTATCGGCTCGCGCGGCCCTAGACTGGCGCGTTCCTGCGCTTTGCTGAAGGAGGGCAGGGGGCGTAGCAGGAAACCAAGATGGTAGGTGAAGGCGCTTACTCGCCGCAAAAAAAATGATCCCGGCAAAGCAACCTAACAGCGATGTGTAGAAGCATATCTGGAAGCATTCTCGCAGTCGCAGCCTCAGCTTGCCTCGGCTTGCCTCGGCCTCAGCCTCAGCCTGCCTCGGCCTCAGCCTCAGCCTCAGCCTGCCTCAGCCTCAGCCTCAGCCTGCCTCAGCCTCAGCCTCAGCCTCAGCCTGCCCTCAGCCTCAGCCTCAGTCTGCCTCAGCCTCGGCCTCAGCCTCAGCCTGCCTCAGCCTCAGCCTGCATCAGCCTCAGCCTCAGCCTCAGCCTGCCTCGGCCTCAGCCTCAGCCTCAGCCTCAGCCTCAGCCTCAGCGTCAGCCTCTCAGCCTCAGCCTGCATCAGCCTCAGCCTCAGCTTTAGCCTGCCTCAGGCTCAGTCTCAGCCTGCCTCAGCCTCAGCCTGCTTCAGCCTCAGCCTCACAGTTGGCTCCGGGCAATCAGAATGTAGCCTGGGAATGGTGTTCTGGGAACACGATGAACACGAAGTGGCCTACAGTTGGCTCCGGGCATTCAAAATGTGGCCCGGGAATGGTGTTCTGGGAACACGAAGAACACGAAGTGGCCTACAGCTGGCTCCGGGCATTCAAAATGTGGCCCGGGAATTGTGTTCTGGGAACACAAAGAACACGAAGTGGCCTACAGCTGGCTCCGGGCATTCAAAATGTGGCCCGGGAATTGTGTTCTGGGAACACGAAGAACACGAAGTGGCTTACAGTTGGCTCCGGGCATCCAAATTCATGCCCAGGAATGGAGTTCTGGGAACTCGAAGACCACGAAGTGCGTTACTGTTTGCTTAAAACGAGTTCCCCGGCATCCCCCCGGATCGCGCCCAGACCCCCTTGGGGCGTCATGATGCTCTTTTGACCCTACTAGAAACCTATCAGTCTTCGCTGTTAGGTAAAAACAAAAAACAAAAAGACCCCCAAAGGGCTCCCAGGGAACGCCCAAGAGGCCCCCCAACACACCCCAAGAAATCATGTCCCCAGAAAACCTTCCAGGGGCATGGTTCATCATGGGCCCGAGAGTTCCCGGAGGCCCCCAAGGGGCCCCCAGGGAACGCCCACGAGACCCCCCAACACACCCCATCAAACCATGTCCCCAGAAAGCCTTCTGGGGACATGGTTCATCATGGACCCGCGAGTCTCCGGAGGCTTCGAAGTACCATCATGCTACAGGAGAGCTGTATGGGAAGTTGATTGGGAACGTGACTGATCGCCCTCGCGGCCCTCCGCAAATCGTTTCGCACAAAGTTGCCCCAAGTGCTCCCTTCAATCGGCGACGACGACGGCGAAACGACGAAGACGACGACTGCGACGACGACGACGACGACGACGGTGACGACGACGACGACGACGACGACGACGACGACGACGACGACGACGACGACGACGACGACGACGACGGCGCGCCCCAATAGGCGACGACGACATTACGGCGACGACGACGACGACGACGACGACGAAAATGACGACGGCACGCCCCAATAGGCTCCCCAAGACGCCCCAAACCCATGCTCCCAGAAGGCCTTCTGGGAACCCGATTCACACGGCCTCCGCCCCCCTACACAACCATTTTCCTTTAAGGCCTTTCGGAATGCAGATTGGCATGCGTGGACTGTGGTCCACTACTTCAGTGGAGCAGCAGTGAATTCGTCAAGGCCTGGGGCCTGCGAGAAGCTGAGCGCGCGCGAAGCGCGCGCGATGGTCCTAGTATATATATATATATATAGTCCTTGATCCATCGTGATCCTGTCTGAGAACCTTCCGAAAATGCTTGCCCCCATAGACCGCTTCAGTCTCCTTCCACTTCCCGAAGTGAAGTTGGGAGCTCAGTCGCCTGCGAAACTCTGGAGTGAACTCGTCGCGTCCCGCGACGATGAGATCGTCCAGTTCAATCAAATTTAGACCCTCTAATGACTTGAACTTGTCACGCTTAAGCCAGGGGCAGGGCTCCAGGCAAAAAAGTAAGCAGGACCACCCAAATACTAAACCAGACCACCCAAAAGTAAGCAGGACCTGACGAAAAGTAAACAGGACCACCCTGAACGTAAACAGAACCACCCTGAAGGTAAACATGACCACACCAATAGTAAACAGGACCACCCAAAAACTAGACAGGACCACGCCAAAAGTAAACAGAACCTCGCCAAAACTAAAAGAGGACCACCCCACAAGTAAACAGGACCACCCCAAAAGTAAACAGGACCACCACAACTGTAATCAGGACCACGCTAGAAGTAACACGACCACCGCAAAAAAGTATACAGGACCACCCAAATAATAAACAGGACCACCCAAACACTAAACATCACCATCCCAAACGTAAACAAGACCTCACAAAGTGAACAGTACCACCCACAAACTAAACAGGACCACCCCAAACGTAATCAGGACCACCCCGAAAGTAAATCTGACCACACCAACATAGTAAACAGGACCACGCCAAAAGTAAACAGCACCACCCCAAAAGTAAAGAGGACACTTCAAAAAGTCAACAGGGCCATCCCAACAATAAACAGGACCACGCAGAAAGTCACGTTATATGAATGGTGTGGCTTCCATGTTGGTTCTGAGAAGGGGTGGGAACCGTTAAGCACACCCACTTATTTTTCGAAGTCAAGTTGCTGCTCGCACATTATATAAATGGTGTGGCCTCCATGTTGGCCCTGAAAACGAGTGGGAACCCTTGAGAACGCCCGCTTGGTATTTGAAGTTATGTGAGGTGTGGTACTGTGCTTTTTTGGTGGTCCTGTTTACGTTTGGGGTGGGGTCCTGTTTATTTTTGGGGTGGTCCTGTTTAGTTGTTTGGTGGTCTTGCTTACTTGTGCATGGTCCTGCTTAGTTGTTTGGGGTGGTTACTTTTAGGGTGGTCCCGTCTAGTTTTTGTGTTGTTTTGTTTGCATGGTCCTGCTTACTTTTTGGTGTGTTCCTTTTTTCTACTTTTGGGGTGGTCCTGTTTACTTTTTGGGGGTGGTCCTGTTCACTTTAGGGGTGGTCATGTTTACTTTCGGGATGGTCCTGTTCACTTTTGGCGTGGTCCTGTTTATTTGTTGTGTGGTCCTGTTTGCTTTTTGGGGTGGTCCTGTTTACTTGTTGGGGTGGTCCTGTTTACTTGTCATTAGGGTAGTCCTGTTTACTTGTTGGCGTGGTCCTGTTTTCATGTTGTGCATGATCCTGTTTAGTTTTTGGGGTGTCATATTTTGTTGTGTGGTGGTCCTCTTTACTGTTTGGGTGGTCCTGCTTACTTTTTGTGGGTGGTCCTGTTTACTGTTGTGGTGGTTCTGTTTAGTTTTTGGGTGGTCCTGCCCACTCTTTGCATCGTCCTGTTTACTTTTTGGTGTGATCCTGCTTACTTTGGGGTTGCTCCTGTTTTGTTATTGGGTGATCCTGTTTACGGTTTGCATGGTCCTGTTTATTCTTTTGAGTGGTCTTGTTCATTTTAGGGGTGGTCCTGTTTGCTTTTTGGGGTGGTCCTGTTTTTGGGGGATTGTCCTGTTTACTTGCGGAGTGGTCCTGTTTACATGTTTGGGGTGGTTTTGTTTATTTTTTGGGGTGATCCTGTTTAGTTTGGCGGTGGTCCTGTTTACTTTTGGGGTGGTGATGTTGTTGGTCATGTTGTTCGTACTGTGTTTGGTGATGTGTTTGGGTCTGTGTTTGCTTGTTTTTGGTCGTGTTGTTGGTCCTGCTTTTGGCTATGTTTTTGGTCTTCGGGTCCTGTTTTCGATCCTGTTGTTGCTCCTGTTTTGGGTGGTGTCTTTTTTGGTTATTTTGTTGGGGTGGTCCTGTTTACTTTTGGGGTGATCCTGTTTTCTTTTCATGCGGTGCGCTTGTTTACTTTTTCGGTGGTCCTGTTTACCTTTGGGGTAAAGGCGGAGGCAGGTTGGGTGATGCAGGTTGAGGGAGGGGTTAGGTAAGCATTGAAATCTCGCACGTTGATCGTGTGGTTTCGAAGACTTCGGGACGCAGGAGGAGGAGGGGGGGTATGAAGAGGATGGTGAGAAGCCGGAGGACGAGGATGAGAACGAGGAGAAGGAAGACGATGGCGATGGGAACGAGGACAAGGCATCATCATGATCATCGTCGTCGGAAAATCACCAGCATCAGCATCATCATCATCATCATCATCATCATCATCATCATCATCATCATCATCATCATCAGCTTCATCATCTTCATCATCATCGTATTCCAGGCCCGGGCAGGTAACAACATATCACCGCAGCAGATCATTCATATGATGTCTGACCCCTTGGTGGCCCAGCCAGCCAGGATCCCCCCCCGGCAGGGAAGGGATCAAAGGGAAGGGGCTTCCCTTCGATTCAATGACAACGTTGCTCTTGAGGGGTAGGCCCTGGAAAAGCGGGGGGGGGATTGGCGACGGGCCTTGGGAAGAGGGGGACAGGGCAGGAGGGGAGACGGGCCAAGGGAAAGGGGCAGCGCAGGGACAGGGGACGACTGGCCCAGGGAAAGGGCGGGCGCAGGGACAGGCGACGACGGAGACGAACAAGCCCTCACACACGCCGACACAGGGTCGGCGGGTGTCTAGGTCCCACCGTCGCCTCCGATGTATTGCTTTCTCGTCCTCGATGTTAGCTGCCCCGACGCCGCTCCCAGCGCCGGTCGCCCTCCTAGAGCCGGCGCGGCGTGCTCGAGCGGCGCTCCGCCCCCGCAGGATGCGCGCGCTCCTCCGCGCGGCCCTGCTCGCCTGCGCCGCTGGGGCCACGCCCTCCTCAGGGGCAACGCTAGGGGGGGGCGGGGGGGGGAGTTTTGAGGTTCGGGGGGGGGGGGTCGAAGTTCGAGAGGGTAGGCTCAGGGGATAGGCTCAGTGGGACAGGCTCAGGGGGACAGGCTCGGTGGAGGGGTGGACAGGCTCAGGCGGATTGGCTCAGGGGAGGGCGAGCGCAGCTCCAGGTTCGAGGCATTCAGACGTCTTCGAGGTTTCCTGGAGGGTTCCTTGCCTCGGGATGCGTTCCAGCAGCTGCGCCTCGCCGGGGGCGTTGTGGAAGTGCCTGGATCGTCCCGAACGGTTGGCGGAGACCCGTCATTTGGGGGGGGGGGAAGCTCAGGTGCGGATGCATCGACCCCCAATCGCCCTTCGATCGCCCGTGGGGGCCCGATTGTCCACCCTGCCCAGGAACGCGCGGTTCGCCCTCGGCGGCCTGTCGCCGAGCTATGGGCGATGCATCGCCGATGCCAGGTCGACGGTTGCACTCCTGAGCGGGTTCCTTTTCCCTAACGTTGCGCCTCACCTCCGGCTGTGGCGAGAAGGGCCCGGACCAGACAGAGTGGGCGAGGATTGTGAACGGCCAGGCGGCGACCGAGTGCGAGTGGAGATGGCAGGCCTGCTTGAAGACTCCAGGCGTGCGCGGCTGCTGGTGCGGAGGCACGCTCATCAGCGAGTCATGGGTCCTCAGCGCAGCACACTGCGTGGCAGACGGCTCCAGTTTCAGCATCATGCTCGGGGATTTCGATCACACCCAGGAAGGCGACGGCGTCGAGCAGGAGATCTCGGTGAGGCGGGTCGTTTCCCACCCGAACTACGACGACGGCACGTTTGCAAATGACTTCGCCTTAATCGAGCTCGTTCATCAAGCCTCGATCAACATCTGCGTTGGAGCAGCCTGTCTGCCAGACGTCAGTATGGAACTGACAGGTGGGGAGACCTGCTACATCTCGGGCTGGGGTACCCTCACGTCAGGCGGCATCCAGCCGTACACGTTGCAGGAGGGCGAGGTGAACATCGTCAGCAACACGGACTGTGGGCTGAGGTATGGCTCTGGCATTATCGACGCTAGCATGTTGTGTGCGCAGGGCGTGAATGGAAGCGACATCGTCGACGCCTGCCAGGGCGACAGTGGCGGCCCGCTGGTCTGCGAGAGCAGCGGCACTTGGTACGTGCACGGTGCGACCTCGTGGGGGTACGGCTGTGCGGCCGCGCAGTATCCCGGCGTCTGGGCTCGCGTGACAGCCGAGGTGGACTGGATCCAGGGTTACCTTGGCGGCAACGTCTCTACGGCGGCGCCCACGCCTGCTCCTACTCTGGGCGAGTTCCCTGAAGGGCAGATGTTCATGGTGATCAGCGGCGATTGCACGGTCGTGCAGTATTGCGCGCAGAGCCCCAATTATCCAAGCAGCTATGGCGCCGACCAGAGCTGTTCCATTGCTGTCAATGAGGAGCGGGCAGAAGCGATTCTGGCGACAGAGTTTGACACGGAGTCAGAGTACGACGTCTTGACCATCAACGGCTACGAGTACAGCGGGTCCATAGGCCCCGCTGGAGGTGTCGTACCCACCTCCACGATCACATGGACTTCTGACTTCTCGATCTCCGCAAGGGGCTGGCAGCTGTGCCTGGAGTCTCACCACCAGACGGGCGCGCCAGTGCCCACATACGCGCCCACGCCGGCGCCGCCAACGCCGCCTGTGCAGTGTGGAGTCCGTGGGGCTGACACAACACCGTGGGCGAGCGGGCGCGTCGTCAACGGGCAGGATGCCTCGGCGTGCGAGTGGAACTGGCAGGTGGGCCTCAAAACATCAGGCTGGTGGTCGCAGGCGTTCTGCGGGGGCACGCTCATCGGCGCCAGGTGGGTGCTCACGGCGGCGCACTGCGTCGACGACCCCAGCTTCGCCATCTTTGCTGGCGAGTTCGACCTCACGTCGGACGACGACGGTGCCGATCCCGTGGTCCTGCAGGTGGCCAGAGTGATACACAATGCTTCGCATCAAATTCAGCCGGATAGGCTCTCCCTGCGCTCGCGCTGCCGCTCCTTGTCGTCCTCCCCCCCTTGCATCCTAATATCCTCCTCGTCCTCATTTTGCAGATGGCGATCCATACTGCTGTGGAAGAGGTCCCGCCTGTCACCTCTCTTTTGGTGGCGATCCATTCTGCTGGGAGGCTGGTCATGGTCCTCCCTCTTATGCGCCCCCTCAGCCACGCGCAGAGGGGGGTAGGGGGAGGGCGGAAGGCTTTTTAGAAGCACCCTTGCTTCTTAGAAGGCGCGGGCCTTGTCTATGGATGTAGGTCAGAAGCCTGGCGACGGCTGGCAAGCCCGTGGCTGCTAAAACGGAGCTCCAGGAAATTGATTGCTCTTTCCGGGAAGCAGCCCGTTTATTATTTTGCGCGTTGAGCTTTATTCCGGGCATTTGTCTTTTTGTTCCGGGAACTTGCGCCGCTCGTTGGCGCGGGCAGCACGATGGCCCTTGCGTTCCATGAGCAAACGGCAGCCAAGACGCTGGAATAAGGACCACTTCGGGCTGAGGACGTGCCGTGCTTTTCGGGCCGTTCCCCAGATTCGTGTCGGGGAGCCTATTCGTGGCCAAGGCTCGCCGTGGCCAGGGAAGCCCCGTCGCTCCTTCTTCGGCGTTCCGTATGGTAGCACAACGACTGTACGGTAGGGGCCCGTGTCGTGTCGACGCGGCTGCGGCCCCAGCGCGAGAGGGGGGGGGGGGCGAAGCGGGGAGGGCAGGCGGAGGATGGAGGGGTCGGGTGTTGGCACAGGTGCCTTTGGGCCAGGGTGTCCCCAGGATCTCCAATGAGGCCCCCCCGCGGCCTCCAGAGCACCCCTCATGAGGCCTAGAGGGCCCGTGTCGTGCTTAACGCGGCGGCGACCCCGGCGCGGGCATTCAAGGCTGAGCGCTGGCCGTGGCCTGGAATCGGCCAGCATCGAGCGATGTGCCCTGTCGGACGGCCGCGAATCGTGGAAGGTTGGGCAACCAGCGCGCAAGTCTTCACGGCACGAGCCACGCGTGGGTCGCCCACGGGGGTGCGAAGGGGAGCGCGCTCTGCGCCCTGCGGCCTGTGGCGGAGCCGGCGCCCTTCTCCAGGGGAGTTGGCGCAGGGGCGCAGAGGTGGCCGCGCGATTGCGCATCGCTAGGCCACGCGCAGAGGGGGAGGGGGGAAGGCTTCTTAGAAACACCCCTGCTTGCGGCTCGCCGAGGCCGCGGGCCGCGTCGCCCATTCGGTGGCATCAGTGTCAGGGTCCATTTCGCTCCGATCGATCCGATTCTGTGAATAGAACCCGTATAATACCCTCATAGATACTCCTTATCCTCACTCTCCTGCGCCTGGCCGCTTGGTCTCAGGTATTGGAATAGATCGATCAGACCTTTGATCGTGCAGGAGGAAAAGATCCATCTTTCCCTCCTTTCCTCTACCAACGGATCAGGGGTTCTGTACCTTTGTACTCCAACCCCATACACAGGTTATCAGCCTTTTAAAACTCACAGTTCATCGAACCCCGCGTCGCGATCTCGCACGCGGCCTCGATGGAACCCAAGCGGCGCATGCGCCGTAAGGGGTCCGTCGGGGCCTCGTGTCCGAGCTTTCCGACGGCGCGACGGCTCGGTGATGAGTTGGAGAGCCTTAGTGTGGACCGTGTGGGTGTCCCCGATACCCCCCCCCCCCCCCAGCTCAGACGGACCCGAGGCGCGGCTAGCTGCTGAACTTCACTGCCACGCCGCCCGCGGGGGGACAGGAGAAGGAGTAGGAGCAGGCAGTAGAGAGTTCCACGCGCCTACCTTCGATCCTCCATATCCTCTTCCGTCGGGGGCAATCCCAACTGCGTCGGGCGCCAGCCCCGCTGGTCCTGATACTCCAGGGCGCTTTCGCGCTACCCGCCGATGGAACACAGGTACTGGCATGGCCAGCCCTGCGACCGTTCCTGTAGCGGAGCACGTTGCTACCGTTGAGGAACTCAGTAGACCAGTGGCGGCGCAGCCGCAGACGCAGTATCCCCAGGTATCATCTCATCCGACACTACACACACACGGCCCTAGCCGCAGCTCGTCCCTGCGCAACCGTCGCGGGGCCACAGGCCCATGCGACGAGTCAAGGTCGAGCCCGCGTGCCGCCTCTCGGAGGCCTGGCACTCCTCGCGAGAGGATGCAGAGGGAAGCTGACGCTCCCCCCTTTCCCTCTCAGACGACCTGCCGGCGGTGACGTCCGCTGCAGGTGAAATAGCTGAGCTCAGAGACCAGGTTGAAGCCTTCGTGTCCAGGCAGTGCTCTGGACTGGTGCAGAGCGTTCAGACGAACGCTGCCAATGCTGCTGCTCTACGTCAAGATTCCGACGGCGCCTTAGCGATCATAGATTCCAGGATCGCTGAAGATCGCCGCATCTTAGGTGAGCTGCAGTACCAGGTTGATTGTGAGACGTCACACTCAGGTGAACGATCAGCGACGGTCGAGCACGTGCGCAACTACCTTGCGCAGATGGAGCAACAGCTTGTGATCGTCCGCGACACAGGCGTTTCAGCGGCCATGATCCTCCACGATGCGATCCATGACCAGCTCCGCAACCGACCGCCTCCAGCCGAGGCCACTGACCTTGGCGATGTCCAGTCCCAGATCAACGATCTTCGATCCCACATGGACCACACTACAGCGACGCTTTGCACCGAAGCAAACACCCATTCGTCGAACCTGATCGGCATGTTGCAAAACACTGAGAGAGTTGTCACTCAAAGGCTTGATGCGACCAACGCTGTCGCGCAGCCACCCACTAACCAGATCTCTGAAATCGAGCAGCGCTTCCCTGGTGTACAGGACGCCCTGGCAGAGTTGCGTGTCGGACGAGCCCAGACTGGCCAGCTGGATTCTCCTCCCACGATTTACGATTTCGCCCGCCTCACTGACAGGTTGCAGGAGGTTGAGAAGGCGGCGGACCACACGCCGTCTGAGCTCTCCCAGGTTTTTCGTGAGAGAGATGCTGAAAAAAAGGTGCGTGTCGAGGGGTGTCTCGCACGTCTGGACAGTGAGTTGGAAGCGCACAACGCCCGTCTCCGAGCCTACGAGCAACGACTTGATCGGTATTCACAACGCTCTCGGGGCACTGACGAGCACACGCGCCAAAAAGTGGACCAGATACACGAGGGCATGACGAGCTGGACAAATCAGTTGATTTACCACACCAACGACACCACACTTCACCTTCAGCCTACAACCGACCTGCCCAGGCCGACGGCAGCGTCCGCTGAAGCACCGCACGCTTCTGCAGGACAACAACGACGTACTTCGCCAGGAGCAGCCTCCGCGGCAGCCTTCGGCACAGACGCGCCGCGCGTCTCTCGTGCGCACAGAACCAACTACCGACGGTGCACCGATACCCTCACAACCATTGTCTGCGGTTTCGGTCAATACCACTACTCCGATTAAGGAGTCAGACACCGTCCGAGTTCTTGTCTTGCCTAAGATCACACAGTTGATTGAGTGGCAGCAAAAGTACGGAATAATTTTGGGGCCGCTTCAGGGCGACCATCCAACGCATATGCCTTCCGATGCGTGGCTGAACAGCCCGAATGTACCTTTGCAGACTTACAAGACAGCGGAGACTTCGAGAGCATCGATTGCAAACTCGCTACCGCTCTCAGCGACATCTTGTCTTCCGATCTGCGCTACCAAATCAGGTTCATCGAAACCAGAGAGCACAAAGCAGGACGCATGCTCAAAGGGCGCCAGATCTACTGGCACATCCTACATTCCCACAAAGTGACAGAGGTTGATGACGACCTACATGATTTTGAGCGCCTCAAAGAACGGAGGATGAGAGATGAAGATTTGCAGCGTATCATTACTGATTGGGGCGCTTCACTGTTGGATTGCCGAGAGGCACCCGACCCAAAGATCTTGGAATCTCTGTTTCGCACGCAGATTCGCCGACATGCCTGGATGAAACAGGATATGTACGAATACCAGCGCAGGAAGACCAGCGACCCGAATCGTACCTATGATTGGCTCCGGCAGCTCAAACAACTTGAAGATAATCAAGATAGGTTACGGTACGAACACGAGACTCGTTCTCAGATACACATCAGCACAGCCTGGAAGAAAGGCAATTGTCGCAATGGCGAGCGTTGCAAGGCTTTACATACCTTTTCCAGGGATGGGAAGGACAGCGGATCTTCCCGAACATCGACCGCCGGCGGCAATGTCGCCGCGGCGTCTCAGACCCTGCGCATCCCAAGAAGCCAGCATCGAAGCCATTTTGCTTCGAGTTCGCCAAGCGCAGCACACGCGTACGCGGCGACAGGCGCAACTTCCCACATATGGCGCAGCGCAGTTACTTCGCGCAGAACACGTGCCACAAGGGTGACACATGCAAATGCGCTCACCTGGCACCTGGCACGAAGACACTTGAGCGAAGCCCCAGTCGCCCACGGGCCTCCAGTCAGGACGGCCGCGGCCGACCGCCGCCCCGCGGATCGGGGGGCCGGCGCTCTCCACAACGCGGGGGGGTCCGCAACGCGGGGGGCTCAGACAACAGACGTGACAACCGACGCTAATTCGACCGATCTCGATCATTCTCCAGGAGGTCTACAGACTCTCGCAGTCAGTCGAGGAATCGCTATGATAGGTCATCGCGATCCTCCTCCCGAGGACGAGACGGGCGTGGCGGAGGACGTGGCAGCCCACGTGGCCGCGACAGATCACGCGGCAGCGACAGAGGACGTGACCGACGTTCAACGAGCCGCGGTTCTTCCTGTGGTTCCCCCAAGTTCAGGGCACGCTCTCCCGCTGCCTATCGCCGCCCGCGCCACCCCGACCGCAGTTGCGTCATGCGTGACAAGGCTCTCATGGGCGCCCACAAGGCCAAGACAGCATCTACCAAACCACGGCGTCGGATACGTCTCGACACACATACCGTGGACTACTACCCGCGCATCGCGTCTGGCAAGTCCACTCTGGACAAGTGGACG